CACATTTTCTTGATCCATTCATCTACTGAGGGGCATCTGGGTTGGTTCCATATCTTAGCTATGGTAAATAATGCTGCAATAAACAGTTGTGCTGGTAACTTTAGTATGGTATTGTTTGTGATCATTCAGGTAAATGACCAAAAGTGGGATTGCTGGGTCATCGGGGAGCTCTATGTGGAGTCTTTTAAGGAACCTCTATACTACTTTTCTTTTTTCTTTTCTTTTATTGTTTTGTTTTATTGTGAGAATACTGTATGAAGGAGTTACAATTACATGGGCAAGATAACGAGTACATTTCTTATCAAGCATTGTTGGCTCCTCTTTGTTTCCCTTTCCCATCCCTTCCCATATTCCTCCCCTTCCCCCACCTGATCCTCCCCACCCCCCTACCAAAGTTGTTAAGTTCGTTTATCGACATAACGACTTGTACATCTCATTGTTGCAATGGGTCCTCCTGTATCCCTAGTTAAACGATTTGTTTTTTTTCCTTCCCCTCCACAAATTATACCAATATCAAATACAGTGAAAGTATGGGTTATACTGTGGGGGGAGGGACATACAAAGCAACATAGAAATAATCTTATAAATATGATAGAAACAATTGCATGAAAGGAAAAGAAAGAGAAAAACATTTGAATACTGCAATACTACTTTTCAAAGTGGTTGAACAAGTTTACACTCCCACCAACAATTCAGTAGGGTTCCCTTCTGGCCACATCCCCTCCAGCATCTGTTGTTGTTAGAGTTCTTGATTATAGCCATTCTAACTGGGATGAGGTGCTATCTCAGTGTTGTTTTGATTTGCATTTCTTTTATGGCTAGGGAGGTTGAGGATTTCTTCATGTGTCTATTGGCCATCCTTCTTTCCTCTTCAGAGAAGTTTTATGCAATTTCCCTTGTAACACTGATATTGTCTTGCTTTAGCTAACTCTGGTTGTTTCAAAATTGCTTTTTTTAGAGTAAAATATTTGGTATGTCAACTATTTTGTCATATTGACTGACACCTTTAAAATGGAACCTATACTAATGAATACCACTTATCAATATTTTGTAGCTCTGTATTAAAAATACAAATTAGATAAAAGAAAATATATTTTAGCAATCTTATTGAATGGGTAAAAGTATGATTCATTATTCCATTTACTCCATTATTTAATTTGTTTGAATGTATAGAAATATTTATGGACTACATGCAAATAAGCACATGAAAACAGATAAATAAATGATAATTAATTTGAAAAGTTATGAATGTATGTAATAAATTTTAAATGTTTACTTGGTAAAAGGAACTTAGTTGCAAAAATTTGAAAACTTATTTCTTTGTAATTAGGAAATAAAGCTTCAAAGGATAGATTACAAATATATTCAGATAACTAAAGAAATTTTCATCTAAATAATAAAAGGTATATGAGAAATTTCTCACACAGAGAAAGTAGATAAAAAACTTTATGAAACATGAAGCTTCTGTAGCTTGAAAGAACAATCATAAAAAGGAAATAATTGACTACAAAGGCTCAGCAGTAGATTTGTGCTGGCAGACAAATCAATGACTTTCATGATAGATCAGCAAGGATTACACAACCTGAATGAAAGAAAAAATGAAGGAAAAAAAAAACCTGAAGAAGTCTCTGAAAAACATAGTTGCCATGAAATAATGGTTGAAAATTCTCCAAATTTTATTTACAAAAAGTCTACATATTCAAGAAGGTTTAAAAAAAACTTCTAATGTAGGATAAACACATAGAAATATACTTTTAGATCTATGACAGTTAATAAGATGTTGAAAACAAATCTCCTCTGTTGGAAGGAGTAAAGAAAAATGTTACACACACAGACACGCACTCACAGACATACACACACATAATATTACAAAATAAAATATCAACGCAAAATGTGTCAAGAAAGAAAAGAAGCAGAAGAAAGATGCATGAGAAAAGAAAAAGTAAAACTGCAAATTTTATTTGCATTCAGACACATCAGCAATAACATTAAATTGCATAAATTAATTAAAATAAAACTATTGAATTCATATTCAAAAGTTACCCAAAAATAAAGTGTACATGATGCATACAGATTTGTAAATAGTTTTAAAATAAAGAATGAAAAGGGTATGCATTGAAACAGTAATCAAAAGGAACTCCAGGGGACATAGCAATATGTAACAAAGCCAACTTCTAAATACAAATTTAAATACTAATAAAATTTATGGTTATAGAAGTTCCTATCTCTAAAGGCTCATGTCTAATCCTCACTTCTCAGGAAGCTGAGATCTGAAAGATAATGATGAAAATATTACTTTAAGGTGATGTATTCAGCATTCATATACATGTATTCACATAGAGAACACAGCCTTATTGCACAAGGAGGCAGAGGTCACACTGGAGTAAAGTGTTCCCACACTATGGGCTGTAATTTATTTGATCTACAAGGTCAAGTCTGTGTTAGGTGTATTTTGCTAGCAGCCCTAAGCTCATTTCTGATTCCATCGAGTAGATGTAAGTTGCAGAGTTTGAACATCACTACTGTGCTCCCCAAGTCGAATATTGACCAGTGGGCTGCGTAGGCTGTAATGCATGTTTTAGCAAGGTGAAGTGGCTGCAGAGGGTCCCCTAGGACGCTGGTTCAGAGAACTGTACCTCTGTCTTTCAAGCAGAGGGTCATGGGAAGAGATGGGAAGGGGAAACAAAGGAGGAGGCTACAATGCTGGATAAGAAATGTATTAATTATCTTGTCCATGTAATTGTAACGCCTCTGTACAGTATTTTCACAATAAAAAATAAAAAAAATATATAAAATATGGTAGTTGAAAAATTGTATCAAAACGTTTGAAAAATTAGAATGTTCTCCTAAACATGTTGATTTTGAGTAGAATTAACTATTCTCTAAAATTAAAAGTCCTATGCCCACCTGTAAACCCTTTCATATAATATCATTAGAGCTATTGTTTGTATTATGATTGTTGATTTACAGCTTATTTACTTTGTTTTTCTTTATATGAATGCCATCAGTGCACATGCTTTTTTTGTTTTTCAAGCCAGGCTATTCAGATGAAAGCAAAAAAATAAATATCTTCACACTCTAAAAAAATAAATATACAAAAATTAAAACAAAATCAAAAAAATCTATAAATATTACTTTATATTATGAAGGATCTTTGTTTATGTGCACAATATGATCTGCTTTTAAAATAAAACAACATATATAAAATGTATCCTCCCCCAAAATACCAAATTACATCATTTCCCTCCCCTTCTCCCTATACACATACAAATCTACTTGTACATTTGACCTGTTTGTTGTTGTTGTTGTTTACTGGGATTTGAACATATGAGAAACCTCATGCCTCCTTATCTGTCACTTGACTCAGTATTCTAGTCTTACATTTTTTTGCTAGTTATTTTGGAAATGAAACTAATAAACATTTCTGCCATACTAGTTGCATACACATTATTCCATGGAGACCATGGAATGGAGACCATGATGGTAAGCCATCATGTAAGTGTAGGAAGACTGAAAAACACTGGGTCATAAAATTCCATTCAAATAAAATGGAATTACATATTCAATATGACAGAATATTTAGAATATTTAAACTTGGCAAAAATTAATTCTGAATATACTTTTAGATAATCAATGAGTGAAAGAACAAAGTATACCAGAATTTAGAAATTACTTTCTGGTGAATTAGAAATAAAATGAAAGAAAACAAATCAGATGAAAATGCATTTAACTTTGACTTAAGAAAATATTCATAACCCCATTGTACAACTCCTTAAAGAATTTTCAAAGCTTTCAGAAGAATTTTTAATTAATATTTTTGTAGGACTACTAGTGTCTGAGAGAAGATATCTTGTTTACTAGGCAAACATTCTACCATTTGTTAAATCCCCAGATTTTTTTTTGGCCTTTATCATTTTTTAGGTAGATATTCCCATTTTTTACCCAGGGACATCCTCAGTCCATGATTTTCATATTCCTCCTGGATAGATGTAATCATAGGTATGCACATCATAGGCTGGCTTGCTTTGAACGTCTTATCAGCTTTCTTCACAGGTGGATTCCAATCATATACACTCTCAATCGCCTCAGGATTTCCTGGGATTACAAGCATGAATCATCAATGCCAGCCATTTAAAAAGTATTTCCTAAAAGGTTATTAAAAAATAGAAAAGCAAATGTACATTCCAAAAGAGTGAATGTGAAATTCAAAGCAAGTTAATAATAGAAGTATCAAATAGAATAATATGCCAAAGAAAACAAAACATGACTTTGGTGTTTGAAAATATTAAAAACATTGACGATTTATGTAAATTAAAAGCAAGTTAGAAGACTCAAGTTAATAAATAATGAGAAAGCTACTGGAATAGTGATTTATTATAGCTTTTCTAGAAAACAATGATAATATTCTGAGATTCTATAACCTAAAAATGTAGAAAAGAAGAACAGCATTGATACTAAAATCTAGATTTAAAAAAAGTCAGGGAAAGCCAGGTGCCCAAAAGAACTAGTGATCATGATTTCAAGACTGCCCAGGAGTCAAAGTTCAAGAGAATTTTTCTCCCAAAGTAACCTAAAACAAGCAAGCAAACAAACAAACAACAAAAAAACGTGGAAGAAGGCCTGTAGCTCAACTCGTAGAGCGCTATGTTTGAGTAAAAAATACAAACAAACAAATAAACTTAGGAACAGTACCCAGTCTCTCAGTTCAAGCCATAGGACCAGCACACACACAGAGAGAAAGAGGGATAGGAAAGGAAAGGAAGAAAGGGAGGAAAGAAGGAAAAAAGGGAAAGAAAATGAAGGCAAAGGAAGGGAAGAGGAAGAGAGAGGAAAAGCAAGGAAGGGGAAAGGGAAGAAAGGGGAAAGGAGGGGAAAGGGAGGAGAGGGGAGGGGAGGGAAGGGGAGGGCAGGGAAGGGCAGAGAAGGAAAGGGGAAAGAAAGAAAGAAAATCCTAGGAAATAGCAGTACACTTAAAAATTGCCTGGACAGCTGCCGGGAAGATGGCGGGCGTGGGCCTGTCGGCGGCCGCCGTGGGTTGGGTTCCGTGTCGGAGCTGGGTCTTCGCGTCTCTCGTCCCCCACGCTTGCAGGAAAATGGCATCACTCTCTTTCCTTAATCGACCCGGCCTTCCAAACCTGGCGTACAAGAGTTTAAAAGGCAAAACACCGGGAATTATCTTCATCCCTGGTTATCTTTCTACTATGAATGGTACAAAAGCATTGGCCATTGAGGAATTTTGCAAATCTGTAGGTCACGCCTATATAAGGTTTGACTATTCAGGAGTTGGAAATTCAGATGGTAACTTAAAAGATTGCACTGTGGGGAAATGGAGAAAAGATGTGCTTTCTATACTTGATGATATAGCCAAAGGACCGCAGATTCTAATTGGTTCTAGTCTTGGTGGATGGCTTATGCTTCATGCTGCAGTTGCACGGCCAGAAAAGGTTGTGGCTCTTATTGGTGTAGCTACAGCTACAGATGCTCTAGTGACACAGTTCCGTCAGCTTCCTGTTGAGGTACAAAAGGAAGTTGAGATGAAAGGTGTTTGGTCCATGCCATCAAAATACACTGAGGAAGGATATCATCACATTCAGTACAGTTTCATTAAGGAAGCAGAGCACCATTGCTTGTTACACAGCCCTATTTCCGTGCACTGTCCTGTAAGATTGCTCCATGGCATGATGGATGACGTAATCCCTTGGCATACGTCCATGCAGGTTGCTGACCGACTACTTAGCACAGATGTTGATGTCATCCTCAGGAAACACAGTGATCATGAAATGAAGGAAAAGGCAGACATTCAACTTCTTGTGTACACGATTGACGATTTAATTGAGAAGCTCTCATCCATGCCACAATAGAAGCCCATTTTCAGTTGGTGTGTAATGTGTCCAGAAGAGAGGGCTAACAAGGACCCTCATAAGGCTTTTTCCTCTCACTTCTATTTTGTAAATATAAGTATTTATTTAATGATGTCTCTGCACAGTAAATACAAATGAAATGACAGTATCTGCTACTGTGGCTGCTGTTGGGAAAATTTTCTCCTGCAATTTTTGATATTTTTTTTTCCATTAAAACATTTCCTTTTTTAAAAAACACAGGACATGTTTATCTTATTCATATGTTAACTTTTGTCATCCTTTGTGTTCTCTCCTCTTTAGAATTACAATAAAGCTTTAATATTTTCTTTTTGTTCAGCACTATTGTATATGGAAATTTGCAGCCACTTCTGACTTGAAACAGCAGCTCACAAAATTGAGTAAGAAATTTTTGAACTTTGAAATGAATAGAAAAAATATGAAGAATAAGAATAGAAAAAATATGAAGAATAATAAAGGAAATAAGGATATGTTATATTAAAAAAATTGCCTGGACAATTTTGTGCACAAAAACTAAAAATTCCAGGAAATCAATTCCAGAAAGACATAAATCACCACTACTAATGGTTGATTCAATGTAAGAAAATCCTATGTAACACACTGTATTAAAAGAATAAAATTTTATCACCATATGATCAATTACATATATATATAATGATTTGGTAAAATTCAAAGAATATAAGAATGCTCAACAATTTTTTTTTAAAAAAATCAAAGGGGACACAAACTGATTAGGTGTATTTATGAAAATCTCACCATTAACTTCATGATGAAAAACTAAAACTTTTTCTCCAAAACCAAGAATCAATCTCAGGACTTCTATGCCCTACTAAAAATGAAGATTTTAGTCAGAATAATATGAACAAATGAAACAAATGAAAATCAATGAAGCTACATATAAAGATGTAACAATATTACTTATAGGTGATACATTTATATAGAGGAAAAAACGCTAAAGACTTCAGTTAAAATATTAGAAATATTGCAAGACACAGGATCAAAATTTAAAAGCAAAGCATTTTCAAACATTAATAACGAAACATCCTCAAATAATTTTTTTCAATAAAGCCTCGATTATGTAAAATTATACTTCTGAAAGAGACTTGTGTCCAGACTGTGTAAATGAAATCAACAAATTAATAACAAAAAGACAAATAGCCAGCTGAAAATCTTGCAAAAGATCTGAATGAACACTTATTTAAGAAGATGTATACTGGGTCAATAAGAACAGGAGGAGCTATTAAATATGAACAGTCATCAATTAAATGTACATAAAGGCTAAAATGATATGTCATTTAAGGTTTACTAACATGGAAATAATAAAACAGGGAGTAGAACTAGAGTACACAGAGAAATTGTGCTTTAAAATTATACAATATAAATAATTCTGGCATAAGTAATTCTGGAATTCTGGATTAAGGAGTCTTAATTGCTCTAAATAAGCAAAATAGATATTGCAGCAATAATATAGAATTTTCAGATACCATTTTGATCATTTAATAGAATCTCCTTTACAGTCTCTGTGAAGAATTGGTTTGAATTGGTGTGTCCGTGAGTTTCTACAAATTGTCTGAACATCCCTTATGTAAGTCCTTCCACTTGTTCACTGATAACAACTTTCTCAATCCTCCTCAAAAACATATGATAAGATTCCTTATTTCCAAGCATGCTAAAAATTTGAGATCACAAACAGTCTATCTCACATTTATTAAACTTTTACCAATATTCATATCATACCACTGGAAGTTATAAGGTCTTTTAAAAGTTACAATATGGACTATAAATCTGTAAGATATATCATGGTTATTTCATTTTTACTTCTTTTGACAAAGAGACTGTCTCTAGTCTCAGCTTAAATATAGATCCAGGTACTGCAATGACTCTTTAAAGATTATCTCTACCTGCTCTTTTTTTTCCACACTACTTTCCTTTCATCCTCTTTTTCCACTAAACGAGTTTCTGCTGACTTCTCTGTCACTCAGATAGTGTTTACTTGGGGACCTTAATATACTTCATTTTATCTAAAAATGTTTCAATCTCCTCCACTTTTTCTTGGGTTAAAATGTCAAATACTCGGATCAGGGAAATTTTGCTTTTCATTTGAGTTGTGTTCATCTTTATTTTTTAGTGTTTGGAAATCAGTAAGCATTGTCTGTGACTAAATTTTCTATCTGTTCACCAAGAAATAACATCTAAGAGTAGTCATTATGTAGCTTACCAACTAATTCTATAAATTTTGTAATTAAAACAAAATTTCCAGATGGCCACTATCAGTTGTTCCATTCCTAGGTGCAGATGCTTCTAGCATCAAGGCCTCTATCGGTTTCCCACCTTCCTAGCTTCTTATGTGGTCTGATGATTTATTTTCCCCTTTGAATGTAGTAAAACTCCTACTGAACTAGTCTTTAGCAGTTTTATCTTTCAGTTTATTATTTTAAGTTTGGTTCACAAGACAGATCTTCTCAAAACCTTCTACAACTTTGTTACTCATTTATTTTTGCCTTGTATTTCTTACATTCTACTCTGTAACAATTCCCTTTACTTTTACACAAAAGCTTCCCTCCTTTTACTGCAGCAAACCAAAGCTGCATTTTTTTCTTTTCTTAATGATTAAGGCATATCTCATCTCTCTGTACCTGCCATTATGGCTTCTCTTATCATTAATTTTAGTTATACATATTCATTCAAACTCATATTAACAATAATTTCAAGTGAATGCCATGAAACCATAAATTATGTACTGTCATACTAACAATATGTAGAATGGAAAATTGTTAAACCATAATTGCATCATGTTATATTTTATCACGTAGAGCAATCTTTATAATGATCTAAAATATCTTTACTCTCTGTTACAAGAAATTTTAGAGAAGATGAAAAGTTACTTTTCAATGAGATTTTTCCCAGATCACAGAATTAACTGTTTTGTTTTTGCTTTCTGTTTGGTTTTGTTTGTTTTTGATTTTTTAATCTTTATTGAAAAGTTGATGAGCAGGAGAATTATAGTTAACTAAGTAAGGTAATAAGTACATTTGTTTTTAAACACTATTAACCCATCCCTCATTCGCTTCCACTTACCCCTCCCTACTCTTTTCCCCAGACAAGTTTTACAGTTCATTTCCAACATAGTGTCAAATTGAGTATCAATGTTACATTAGTTCATCCTTTGTCCTGCTGTTTCTATGCTTCTCTTTCCATTCCACAGGTCAAATAAACTTATATACAAGACACAGGTAGAGAAAATGCCTTGTGCAGATGCTCCTGGGGATTTAATTCAGGGTCTGGGCTCTGTCCATTTTTTTTGTTTGTTTATTTGTTATTTCTTTGCATAAAGCCAGTGCTCAACCACAGTTCTATTTCTGGCTCTTCAGTAGTTAATTGGAGATAGGAATTTCATGAGCTTCTCTTGACAAGCCTGGCTTCAAACCACAACCCCCAGATCTCAGTCGTCTGAATAAGTAGAATTACACACCTGAAACACTGGCACCTAACGTAAATATTTTTTCTGTGCAATTTTTTCATTAACCTCAACATGTCATTTTTAGTATGGAAACCCTTTGCTATAGGAAACGCATTTTTATAGGAACTTTATCTTATATATCTTTGATGAAGATTCCAATACTTGTTTACTCAGAAAAATATGAACTATTAACATGCATCCATCATTTTGAATCATTTTTCTCAATTGTTTATCTTTGCAGCCCATTTTACCAACAAACACAAGTATAAAAAGGCTTCTTCGGCCATTGTGCATAGTACTTGAAAGTTTGCAGGCCTGCATCCAACCATCAGTGCTTTATTACTAAAGGCCTCTGTCTGCCCAGGTCCTGTGAACTTGAGAACTCAATGAATCTATTAATCATTTTTGGAGGCCATTTTTACTTCAATAAAGCCCATTAAATAGAGCTATTTTATTTAACTAACAATCTATTTGACAGAAAAATTATGACACATCTTACACAAACATAAATATATACACAAGTATACAAAAATACAAAATTTTTTTAATTCTAAAAACTTGGTCACATTCCAAGTAAAATAATACAATCTTATCAATTCCTGAAAGTCTATTGATGAATACTTCTGTTAAAAAAGATAGTCTTTTTCTTATTATTTTAAATCTAAATTTCAGGGAAAAGACATGTAGTTCCAATTAACAACTTCCTCTTCCTCTTTTCCACCATCATCCCTTTCTGCCTTCTTCTTTCTCTGATGAAACATTTCTCTAAGCTGTGGTTGGCTGAAGTTCTGTTGGTTGCTTAAAATGATTCACCCCTTAGTTAGACTTACTCAGACTATGACTGATTTGTACCAAATTTGTATCCCCAAAAAAGAAGATAAGTTTGGGTCAAAATCATTTCAGGTTAACAATAGTATATGTGTATGTAGGAATCAGCAATATAGAAATCCTGTTCAACTCTGACAAATACACATATCTTATGAAAGAAATATTCTCCTTTTACAAATGGAATGCCTTATAATAGTTCTAGAAACTTCAACAAGTATTTTAAGAACTCCTTTACAATGTTCTTCCTATTAATATTTTGGCCATCCCCTCCTCACATTCTTCAGTAAGATAGTCTCATTTTTATATTTTCCCTTTCCTTAATTTTTTTACCTAATTTTCTTCATTTTTAATTTTTTTTCATGATTTCAAATTTCCTTTCTAATTATATCATACTACTAATTTATTTTTACCTGACAATGTCAACTTATTTTCCTCCTTCAAATTTCCAAGTGAGGGAATATTTGATTAGTTCTGATTATCTCTTCAAGCTAGAGCAACCTCTAGATATTTTATGAATCTATTTGTTGTAGTATTCTGTTAGATACAAAATGTGTATCCCAGAGCCATGAATGTGGACAAAAATATGCAGGTTCTGATGATATACTCACAAGACACTATGTTGGAAATGAACTTTACAACTTGGGGTAAAGGGACTGGGGGGGGAGCAGAAAATGTGGGAGAAAACCGGGGAAGAGGTAACAATGTTCCAAAAAAATGTGCTCACTACTTTATGTATGTAATCATAACCCCTCTGTACATCACCTTGAGAATAAAATTAAATTAATAAAAAGAATTACCACCAAAGTTGTGAATACAGTCTATTAAATAAAAAAATGAAACAATAAATTATAGCAGTTATATAATCATGCCTAAATATTGGGAAAAATTCATACTGTGCTAATTACATAAGTTAAAGGTATTTTAAGTTTTTTTTAAACAGAGACAATAAAGACAATAAACTCTGAAAGAAATCATAAAAAGAAAGAGCCTATGAACAGCGCAGGTTATCTTAGTAGGAAT